GTGTTAATACGTGCGTTGGCCGTGCTGATAGAATGCAACAAATTTTATGCGTTGCTTTCAGCCAAACTCACGAATGGGATTCGCAAAATGTTATAATGACAGGATCGACTGATGGTGTAGCTCGTGTAAGAATAACATGGTTTACTCAAATATCAAAAATGAGTCGTCAGGAATGAATAAGCGAAACGGATTATATTTTTACAGATGTGGTCGATGGATTATGTACAAGTGCCTGCAGAAGAAGAGAAACCAGAGGAAGTTGTTACTACCAAAGAAAAAAATATGAAGTCAAGTAAAAATGAAAATCAGAATGAAAATACGAAAAAAAGTGTGCATGAATTAGTTAAACAGATGAGCATTTCCGCCGAAGGATCAAGTATGCTTGCGAAAAGCGGTTCGGAAAGTAGTCTATCGGAACCTGAAAATCCTAAAGAAGCATCAAGACTGCACGAAGAAAAAGAAGAATGTTCGGATAACGAATCGAGCAATGGTTCTAGCAGCAAACCATCACCGCAGAATAATAACGCAACTACGATTGTGCTTCGAAGAAAGAGTCGAGGAAACCCAATGTTTCGTAAAAGCGAAGGCGGTGGAAGAGCAGATAGCGAAGGTACTCAAACAAGGTAATACGATTAGTGCTCTTTGGTACGTACATCTTTTGTTATTCATTTCTTATTGGAGTAATAACAATTAAATTACACGTTACAGCGAGTCATCCAATAATCCGGGGGATTCTGAAGGAGCTCTGCGAGCTAGTAAAAGTGATACTAGTTTAACGGATAGTTTCGTTATGGTTACTGAAGCAGATACGAAACCTAAAAAAATTAATTCACAAAATATCTTAAGAGACGGTTTTAAATGGCAACGGCAATTAGTATTTAGAAGCAAATTAACGATGCATACTGCATATGATCGCAAGGATAACGCGGAACCAGCGTCCATAACGGCCCTCGCAGTATCAAGGTAAAATATTGTTAGTCATTTGGAAGACGTGAAAAATACGAAAAAAAAAAAAGAAATATAGAACATATAATTAATTAAATTCCAGGGATCATAGAACAGTGTATGTTGGGGATACCAGGGGAAGGGTTTTCTCGTGGAGTGTATGCGAACAACCTGGACGTACGGTAGCTGATCACTGGCTTAAAGACGAAGGAGCAGATTCTTGTGTTGGTTGTGGAGTTAGATTTAATCTTTATGAAAGGAGACACCATTGTCGCAACTGCGGACAAGTATTCTGTTCAAAGTAAGTTATTATTATATGATTATTCAAGAATCTACGACTTGTATTCTGTTTTACTGTTTCATTGATATATGTTTTGTTAATGTGCTTTATAATTTTACCATACAGATGCAGTCGATTCGAATCGAAAATATCGAGGCTCGGAATTTTAAAACCTGTTAGAGTTTGTCAAGGTTGTTATTCGTCATTACGCTCTCAGCATTCCGCTGAGAGTAGCACTTAAATATAACAGTATACTGTACGGTTTCGTATAAGTTATCGGTTTTAGAGCGGGTACAGCGAGAATGTACATAATCACCGGTACCCCTTTATGTCTCTATCCGAATTTTTGTGCAAGAGAAACGAAGCGTGCATTTTGTTTTTCTTATCTTGTACGGTACCTTGTCTTATAAGACTTTTGCATTTGTACGAGGGAGGCAGGAAAACTGATCGCTGCATTTCGGTTTTTCATATAATGTCATGACATCCTTCGGATAATTTCGGATAATTTTTTATTATACGGATTCAAATGATTTTCCTCTTTGTCTTTCGTCTCGGAGTAAACGTTTAATGTTACAATGCATTCCTGTCGATCATACGATATCGCTTGTGTATACTTTTTACTATCCTAATGAACTAGGATACTTCCTAACAACGATCGGCCTGTTTCACTTTATCGGCAGGTTTGTACTGGAAGAATTTTAAAAGACAGTATTTGAAAATGAACATTACATTGATACCTTTAATTTCTATAAAGCACACGTTGTAAAATATAAACATTATCTTCGTTTTCAGTATTTCAATCACAATCATTTCTTATACTTTTCTACGTCGTGTGTGTTTATACTTTATATGTCGAACAACAATGTACAGTCGCGTTCTGTATTGTATATTTAATTTATATGCTGCACTTACTTTATTAATAACAAAGACCGTATTGAAATCGTTATATACACGTTCATGTATAGCAGCACTTATTTAATACGCGTAGTCTGTGATTTTTTCTTTCTTACTTTAATTTAACAAATTTATGACTAATAAATTTCAAAGGTAATCATTAATGGTTATATATAGAATATTATACTATTTATGCGATTAATTTCCCTGTCGTAACGCTTACATCGTTTCTCGTATTTGACTATATTAAATAATTATTGTTAATATTTATTTTAAATTATAATGTAAAAT